GTTGTCACCATACTGCCCCGTACTACATCACTGACCTAATATCCAAGTACCGCCCAGCACGCACACTCCGCTCCTCACAAGACCTCCTTCTCTCTAGTTCCCTGGTCTCCTCCTCCCATGCCCGCCTCCAGGACTTCTCCAGGGTGTCACCCATCCTCTAGAACTCCCTTCCCCAACCCATCAGATTATCACCTACTCTCCTCTCCTTTAGGCGCACCCTGAAAACCCATCTCTTCAGGGAAGCCTACCCCACCCCCTGCTAACTTGCCGACCTCTCCACTCTTACCTACCACTCCATCCCCCACAGCTATCTCCTCCTGTGCCACCATCCCCTCCCTCCTAGATTGTAAGCTGGAAAGAGCAGGGCCCTCAATCCCCTCATGTTTTGCATTGTATTGGTATTGTTCTGTCACATGTTCTGTCCCCCTTTGTAATGTACAGCGCTGAGCGAACCATTGGCGCTTTATAAATACTGTATAATAATAATAATAATTAGAGATGAGCGAATCGAACCAGGCGAAGTGGAATTCGTTTCGAATTTCAGGAAAAATTTGATTCGCGTCGAATCCGAATATTAGCATAATTCGGGTGCGCGAATTGGATTTTTCCCGATCAGCCGGCAAAAGTGTCCCTGCAGAGAGCTCCGCTATTTCTGACAGTTCTCTGACAGTTCCTTCACATGTACAGCGGTTGAAACATTGTATCTATTTGTTTCCATTTAGGATACAGATGTTTTTATTCGGAAACAGATACAATGTTTCAACCGCTGTAAATGTGAAGGAACTGTCAGAGAACTGTCAGAAATAGCGGAGCTCTCTGCAGATACACTTTTTGCTGTACTGGAATACTTCTTTTCATTCTTCTTTTCATTCTTCTCATTCTTCTTTTTATTCTTCTTCTCATTCTTCTTTTCATTCTTATTCTTCTTTTCATTCTTCTTTTCATTCTTCTCATTCTTCTTTTCTTCTTCATGAAAAGAAGAATGAGAAGAAGAATGAAAAGAAGAATGAGAAGAATGAAAAGAAGAAGAAGAATGAAAAGAAGAATGAGAAGAAGAAGAATGAAAAGAAGAATGAGAAGAAGAATGAGAAGAATGAAAAGAAGAAAGAGAAGAATGAAAAGAAGAATGAAAAGAAGAAGAAGAATGAAAAAAGAAGAAGAATGAAAAGAAGAATGTAAAGAAGAAGAAGAAGAATCTTTTCATTCTTCTCATTCTTCTTTTCATTCTTCTTCTTCTTCTTTTCATTCTTCTTCTTCTTTTCATTCTTTTTCTTTTCATTCTTCTTCTTTTCATTCTTCTCATTCTTCTTTTCATTCTTCTTCTTTTCATTCTTCTTCTTCTTTTCATTCTTCTTTTCATTCTTCTTCTTCTTCTTTTCATTCTTCTTTTCATTCTTCTTCTTCTTTTCATTCTTCTTCTTCTTCTTCTTCATTCTTCTTTTCATTCTTCTCATTCTTCTTTTCATTCTTCTTTTCATTCTTCTTCTCATTCTTCTTTTCATTCTTCTTCTTTTCATTCTTATTTTCATTCTTCTCATTCTTCTTTTCTTCTTCATGAAAAGAAGAAGAAGAAGAAGAATGAAAAGAAGAATGAAGAAGAAGAAGAAGAATGAAAAGAAGAATGAGAAGAAGAATGAAAAGAAGAATGAGAAGAGAATGAGAAGAATGAAAGAAGAATGAAAAAAGAAGAATGAAAATGAAAAGAAGAAAGAAGAATGAAGAAGAAGAAGAAGAATGAAAAGAAGAATGAAAAGAAGAAGAAGAATCTTTTCATTCTTCTCATTCTTCTTTTCATTCTTCTTCTTTCTTTTCATTCTTCTTTTTCATTCTTCTTCTTTCTTCTTCTTCATGAGTGAATGTCAGAGAACTGTCAGAAATAGGCTATTTCTGACAGTTCTCTGACATTCACTCCATACAGCGGTTGAGGAGTGAATGTCAGAGAACTGTCAGAAATAGCCTATTTCTGACAGTTCTCTGACATTCACTCCATACAGCGGTTGAAACATTGTATCTATTTGTTTCCATAAAATGGAAACAAATAGATACAATGTTTCAACCGCTGTATGGAGTGAATGTCAGAGAACTGTCAGAAATAGCGGAGCTCTGCAGATACACTTAGCGGAGCTTGCAGATACACTTTTTGCCGGCTTGGAATTCTTCTTATTTTCATCTACTTCTTCTTCTTCTCTTCTTCTCATCCTCATCCTCTTCTTCTTCTGAGGATGAGGATGAGGATGAAGAGAAAAGAAGAAGAAGAAGTAGGATGAAAATAAGAAGAATTCCAAGCCGGCAAAAAATGTATCTGCAGAGCTCCGCTAAGTGTATCTGCAGAGCTCCGCTAAGTGTATCTGCAGAGCTCAGCGGTTGAAACATTGTATCTATTTGTTTCCATTTATGGAAACAAATAGATACAATGTTTCAACCGCTGTAAATGTGAATGTCAGAGGAAGAATTCCAAGCCGGCAAAAAGTGTATCTGCAGAGCTCCGCTAAGTGTATCTGCAGAGCTCCGCTAAGAAATAGCGGAGCTCTGCAGATACACTTTTTGCCGGCTTGGAATTCTCCTTCTTCTCATCCTTCTTCTTCTTCTCATCCTTCTTCTTCTCTCATCCTTCTCCTTCTCATCTCATCCTTCTCTTCTTCTTCTCTTCTCATCCTTCTTCTTCTTCTCATCCTTCTTCTTCCTTCCTCTCATCCTTCTTCTTCTTCTCATCCTTCTTCTTCTTCTCATCCTTCTTCTTCTTCTCATCCTTCTTCCTTCTTCTCATCCTTCTTCTTCATTTCTCTTCTTCTCATCCTTCTTTCTTCTCATCCTTCTTCTTCCTCTCATCCTTCTTCTCATCCTTCTTCTTCTCATCCTTCTCCTTCTTCTCATCCTTCTCCTTCTCCTTCTTCTTCTCCTTCTCTTCTCCTTCTTCTCTTCTCATCCTTCTCCTTCTTCTCATCCTTCTTCTCATCCTTCTCCTTCTTCTCATCCTTCTCCTTCTTCTCATCCTTCTCTTCTTCTCATCTTCTTCTTCTCATCCTTCTCTTCTTCTTCTTCTCCTTCTCCTTCTTCTCATCCTTCTCCTTCTCCTTCTTCTCATCCTTCTCCTTCTTCTCATCCTTCTCCTTCTGCTCATCCTTCTCCTTCTTCTCATCCTTCTCCTTCTTCTCATCCTTCTCCTTCTTCTCATCCTTCTCCTTCTTCTCATCCTTCTCCTTCTTCTCATCCTTCTCCTTCTCCTTCTTCTCATCCTTCTCCTTCTCCTTCTTCTCATCCTTCTCCTTCTTCTCATCCTTCTCCTTCTCCTTCCTCATCTCCAAGGGCATTTAAATTAAAGGTACAGTGTTCTGCACTAATTTAAAGGCTCTCTGAAGCCTAGAAACCCTTTTTATAAGTTAAATTCGTAGCGAATAAATTCGCATCGAATCGAATTTCTTCCTCAAATTCTGCAAATCAGCCGAATCGAATTTTTGAATAATTCGCTCATCTCTAATAATAAAGACATATTACTGAATTTATTTATACCTTTAAACGGGCTGCTGCACATAAAATCTTACCCAATAAATCAGTGACATAATTAGTGGTGATGTACAAAATGTTGTAACCCATAGCAACAAATCAATTGACTTTTCGCTAGAGATATTCTTGAAAGATTAATCGCGGCTGGTCGTCATGGATAACCGCGCTCTCGGATATTACTGCAACTGCTTGTTAATGGCAGGTAAATTAGAAGAGCAATCCTGCAACTGTGATTTAATTACCCCCATTGTGCTCCTACCTATTCATCACATTATTTCTTTTACACGAAGAAAAGATAGGTAATTCCATCACTTTTCTTCTCCGGAACTTTTTATTCATGCTCCAAAACGGCAGATTTGTAATTGTACATTTTTCTGTGCTTAAAAGATAGGTGAAATAAAACTACCATGGCAACTAGATAAGATTTATGAAAAAAATCACAATCTACATTAATAGCAAAGCGGTGTGTTCTACATACTGCGGGAGTACTTGGAGGATGGCAAGAAAGGTTCAAAGGAAAAGGTTTGTTCTGAGATCTGATGCTACAGAGTGGAACTCCAGACGTCATCTATAGGAACCCATCTCATTTTCATTGGCGCCAGGTTACCTTTAGGGCTGGAACCAGGGTCGTGGATAAGGGGGTACCATCAGTTCTCCTGTAGGGGGCCCAGGCCAGCAGGGGTGCCCAGGCAGCTGAGTGAATCAGATGTATGTAGGAAGGTTGATCGGAACAGTGGAAGGGCGATTAGTGGAACCGATCCCCTGTATGGCTCTTTTTGCTGACTTCTTCTCTCCCTCCCATCAAGAGCCATACAGGAGATTGGTTCCAGTAATTGCCCCACATCACCCTCCTTGTGCACCATATGTTTCCCCCTGCTGCCCAGGCCCTCCTATGTGCCCCCACCCCCACAGTGCTGCCAGCTTCCCTCCTTTCCACCGTCAGCTGCAGGAACTAGGACAATAGGATCCTTCAGGGTGGAGAGTTTTCCAGTAAATATGTCCAATATACCAGCCCCTCCTTTCTTGAATGAACACAAGGAGCGATCAGTACCAATCACTCGCTGCATTCTTTCATAACTGCAGTGTAGCAAGCTGTGGGTTTTTTTTTTTTGCAGGGGGGGGGCTGTCAGGTTGGCTGTATGGAACCCCGTGGTTTCTAACAGCAGCGTTTCACCCCAGTACACTAAGGCAACCAGGGCTGCTGTTAGAAACCATGGGGCCCCATACAGCAAATTTGACAGCACCCCTCCCCCCCAAAACCCCCCCCCAAAAAAAAACTGTTTACTATGCTTCTGTTATGAATGAACACAGTGCCTAATCGGTACTGATCACGTATTGTGTTCATCATCCTGAAGGATCCTATTATGTGCTTGCAGTTACCGATGGAAGGGAGAGGAGGGAACCCAGGAGCATTGTGGGGGAGTGGGCACACACAAAGGGGCTTGGGCAACATGGGGAACTGTATGGTGCACAGGGAGGATGATGGGTGCAACAGAAGCAGGGCGGACTGACCATTTGAGCACTCGGGCACTGCCGGAGGGCCCGGGGTCAGTAGGGGGCCCCATGAAATGCCCCTGGTACCTTTTTATAGGCTTTTTTTGGTGTGTTTTGAGTGAGGGCAAAGACACAGGGGCCCCATAATCCCCTATTGCCCGGGGGCCCATGAGTTGTCAGTCCGCCACTGAACAGAGGTGTGTATGGTTCTCTGTGCAGCAGCTGAACACCAGTGGGAGAGAGAGGAGGAGAAGAAGCCAGTCTTCAGCTGCTGCAGAGAGAAGCATACAGGGGATCGGTTCCAGTAATTGCACTCCCACCATGCCAATCACCCTCCCTACGCACATCCGATTCACCCAGCTGCATGGGCCCCCCTGCTGGCCTGGGCCCTGTACAGGAGGACTGGTGGTACCCCCTTATCCACGGCCCTGAAGGCAACCCAGCCCTGATGCACATGCATTACAACACAATGCCTAGTATATCGCCACCATACACTGTGGGTGTGTTAAATAGAAAAATGCTGTATGTCTGTTTTTGGTCCGTTCTTGTGCTGTATATTGTGATGTGAGAAATGTATTCATGCAGACTTCTTAAACTTTAAAGTAATATTAAACCCTCCGATTTTTAAACATTTTCAGCAGCTGATTTAAACACTTACTGAGTATGCAGCTTCTTTATCTTGTAATCCTTGTCTATGTTCCAGTTTAAGCTGGTGCCAAGACCGCTGCTCTAGGTTTCCTGTTTCACGTTGGCTCCTATCTCCTGCAGCATCCTATGGAGCCACCCTTACATGCAGGGACTAGAGCTGTGCCTCCTTACACTGTGTGCATCAATAGAAACACACAGCTCCACAGCCTAGGATAGCAAGGTACTCCCCATCTCCCTCCATCTCCTTTTCCCTCCCTTCTCCAAGCCAAAAGATTGGCTGCAGACTGCACTGCCCACTGTTAAAGTATTTCTAAAGACTGAGGGTGAAGGCAGTAAAAAACCTTCTGTGTGCAGCCCCCCCCCCATAACTTACCTGAGCCCAATCTGATTAAGTGATGTGCACAAGAGCAGGGGCTCTTTTGGGTTCTCTCCCTCCTCATTGGCTCCTGCTCTGGCTCCTCTCAGCCAGTGAGGAGAGAGCAAGAGGTAGAGCCGAACCGCACTCTGTGTGTCTTATGTGCACACATAGCAGGCTCAAGAATGAGCATACACGAATGCCCCCTCAGCAAGTGGCTTTATATAGGGGCACTCAGCGAGGGACTGGAGAAAAAGAGGATCAGGCTGCTCTCTGCAAAACCACTGCACAGAGCAGGTAAGTATAACATGTTTGTTATGTATATATTTAATGTGTACCTTTATGTTACTTTCACACGGATCTGTAGCAAAAACATAGTAAAAACGCATATGTGGTGCATTTTTCACAGGACATGTGACTCATAACCCACATAAGAAAACTCAACTGTGGATGCATTTTTTAACGAGTTTTTGAAGAACTTTCCATACATTTCAATAGGGAGGTGCATTTTGGTGCATTTTTTTTTTTAACCACACTAAACCTGCACCATAAATGCAGAAAACAGGAATATACAAAACACAGCGGACCCGCAATGGATCAGTTTGAAGAGTTCCATAGCATTTAATGGTTATGCATTTTTTCCCGCTTTTTTATCATGCAACAGCAAAAAAAAAAAAAACACGGATCAGTGTGAAATCAGCCTTAGTATTACCTATAACTATTTCCTGTGAAGACCAGACGTTCGGGGAAGCTGTACTGAGAGGAGCAGGAGCCAGCAGTGTTGCTAGTTGTACTGTAGGTGCAGGGGTATGACTTGAACAGTTTACTAGGGAATATTTATTTTATTGTGTTCCATATGTTAAGTGAAAAATGCTGATGGTTTAATACTAGTTCAAAGATAACTACTTATCCTAATTTTTAACCGAAAACGTTACACTCCAAAGTCTGAGGGAAGGATTGGAACTTCTGTGACATTTTTATTGCAGCCCTTGTTTTCCATTAACCTCTTTGGCAGTATTCCCGAGTGTAGCTCGGGGTAAAGTTTCAGTACCACAAGCGGTAACCCCGAGCTACACTCCGGCTTACCATGCGGCGTTGCTCCGGGATCTGTTCTTCTCTTACCTTGTCCTGCGCTCCCGCGATGTCCCTCCTGCAGTGTCCCCTGTAATGTCCTCCAGCGGATGCCGGCATCTGTCTTCTGAGTTCCGTCCCCTGCAAGCGTCAGGACGTACGGGGGATGGAACTGGCAGGAAATGTGAAAATGACAAAAAGTGACATTCACTAAATTCACATAGTAAAACATTACTGTATCAAACCATTTCACATACATTTTGTCCCGAGTGCTTTGTCCTGTGCCCTGCCTGCATTTTTACTGTTCTTTCTGCCTGGAAACTGGCGTCCAAAAAGCGTCCCTTTAGGTTAAAAGCGGTTGTAGACCGGCTAGAGAACAGCGATAGTAAATTAGAACCACTTGCAGAATTGAGTGATAATGATTTGTGGGGAAATTCCTCATCAGACACTGGAAACGATTTTGCGACTTTGCTCAGTGTTTGTGTGAACTTGGCGCTATATTTCAAATTTCAGTGTTTTTGGTTTGATTATATTATTGAATTACATTTAACATTATTATATTATTTTTTATGATTATTTATTAAATTATAATTTATGATTTCGTGTTTCAAATTTTATCCTACCCGGGATGTTTACTAGACTCTTGTTCGGACAGATTTCAGTGAGTTATTCCTAAAAATTACAGGCCTACAATAAAAAAACTACGTATTTCCATGCAAAAAAATGTACCGCTTTGAGCACAGAAATATGGACATAATCAGACCGCTAGGGAGGTTAACAGTGTGTCACAAGGATAGGAACTGACAGGGCACAGAGAGGCACACTCTAAGGTCCCATGCACTGGGTGTTTAGTCCTGATACATGAGGTTTAGGTGTTTCGGTGTGGGTGGAAGGCACAGGTGTAATCTTCCAAGCCCCTGCCAGTAGCCTGTTAAACTCCATGAGAGACTGACAGTTGCTGTGGCTGGGTAGTGCTGGATGGTGCATGGAGTAGTATCAACATCTACGGCAGTGTGCGCCCAGGGACTTGCATTTTGAGCATTTGTCCCTGGTGCACAAGGCTGGATGTTGCACCTGTGCCTTCCACCACCCAGAGGAAAGCACTGGTCTGCTGTTATTCTCCTACCATGTTCAATCACATGGTTTACTGTACATCCAGCCAATTCCAGCAATCACACCACACCCAGCTCAGCTGTATCAGGGCTTTAGATCCAGCACACAGCCTGTGATTGACAGCCTCAGCTCTGTTCCTTTGTGCTGCGTGAGGGGTGTGTGTCCCTTTCCTCCAATCAGTTTTCACTAAGCTCTGCACAGTGTAACTTCAGTTCCCTGACCCCTGCTTTCTGAAAGCTGTGTAAACTCTGCACTTGAACTGCTATAAAGAGATGGCTATAGATAAACAGGTACAACTTATGTGGAGGATTTGTTTCATCTCTTTGTATCACCTGAGGCCAGGCACTTCACTGGGTATAGGTAAGGGTTTACAAACACTTTAAATGAAAAATCTTGAGATGTTAAACATGAAATGTTACCTTTTACCATGAATTCCTCTTGAAAAACATAATTGCACTGCCTACTAGGTGAGTGTCTACATCCTGAGCGTTATATCTAAGGCACTGCTACCTCCGATTGCTAGTCTCACCAAATTTGGAGTGAAATTTGGTGATGTCACTGCTGTGCTGCTCGTTGTTCTCTTTGATGGAGAGACAGCTGCACTTGAGGATCTGCAGTGGAAAGATCTCCCTGCTTTTGCTTCATTCATTCTATGGAATTGTGATCTGTGCACTTCTCCTGTTGCTTCATGTTCATACCACTTCTCAGTCATCAGGGGGACAGCTGTGACATAATGAAGCAAAGCTCTACCTCTACCAAGATGGCCGCCTCTACACAGAGACACAGTTCAGTTCAAGGCACGGTGAGTCAGTAAAAGGGAAAAGATCAGCTACAGAGAGCCCACATCAATACTGGTGAATAATTATTTGCCCTCTGCGTGTTATTTTTTGGGAACAGCTTCCACCGTTCAGATCCTCCCCAACGAATGTGGTTGTGCATTTATTAAAATATCAATAAATATCATTCAAATGCAAATAATGTAAATAAAGTACCTGAATTTGACGTAATTCCAGTTTCTTGTAATCCCATGTAAGGACTGAGTGAGGCAGGGGCAACACTAGGATCCAATCAGGTGTCTTGCATTCATACGTGTTAACAAGGAGCATGCTGAAATAAAGAGATAGCAGAAGGATGACCTGAAGGTCAGCTTTACACCTCCCATTCAGTTTACGGGTTCAAATGGAAATGAAAGGTAAAACATTTGAGATTATATATATATATATATATATATGTATATATATATATATATATATATATATATATATATATATATATATACACAGTGGGGATCGAAAGTTTGGGCACCCCAGCTAAAAATTTGTACTAATGTGCATAAAGAAGCCAAGGAAAGATGGAAAAATCTCCAAGAGGCATCAAATTACAGATTAGACATTCTTATAATATGTCAACAAAAGTTAGATTTTTTGTTGACAACAAAAATCTTCTTGAGAACAATTGAGAACAATCCATGACACTGGCAGGTCTCAGCTTTGCAAAGGGGGCAGTACAAGATATTAACTCAGCAGGGTGCCCAAACTTTTGCAGACGCCATTTTTTTTTTTTTCTGTTATTTTGAAAGTGTAAATGATGGAAATAAAATATAACTTTTGTTGACATATTATAAGAATGTCTAATCTGTAATTTGATGCCTTTTGGAGATTTTTCCATCTTTCCTTGGCTTCTTTATGCACATTAATACAAATTTTTAGCTGGGGTGTCCAAACTTTCGATCCCCCACTGTATATATATAACAATACAATAAATGCTTTTTGTTTCCCTTTTTTATAAGTGACCACATACTCTCAGCTGCATTGAGAGTTGGTGGAGGAGAAACTGCAGTACACAGATCTTACCAGTGAATGGCTGTGCAGAAGTCTGATCATTGGAGGAGAGAAAAACTTAGTTCCCAGCACAGCCAGCAACTGGCTAAGCTGTGCTCTCATGCCTAGGGTGGTCAGTTTCTAATAGGAAATCAAAGAAACTGGCAGGAAGACCAGGGATTTCACACAAAGGAAGCAATAGCA